AAAAAAAAAAAAAAAGCTATACAAATATAATTATAAGGCAGTTTTTACATTTCAAGTTCATTCCGTTCACACTGGTGTGGACGAGGGAGAGAGGAAAGTAAAAGCTTTTTGTGCTATTTATGCCTCAAGTTCAAAACTGTCCCAAAACCTGATGAAGTTGAGGGTTGCTATCCGATTATATATTAACCCTTCAGCATCGTCACATCCAAACAGTGCCATCCCACACCATATTGGAGATTTCAACTATTTGAGAACAATAATTTTTAACCCTATTTACAATTTTTCAAATTGCTGTTGAAAACAAAGATGTAGTGGCAATAGTAGAGAAATGTGAACTCTACTGAATGATTTGTATATTAATATGCAATAGTTTTAGTCTAATATTCATACTTTTTTTAATCCACTTACCAAAGTCAAACTTGTTTAGGTTTGGTTGTTGTTAAGTGCAAAACTACACAAGGGGCTATCTATGCTCTGCCCACCACAGATATCGAAACCCGATTTTTTAACATAGTAGCCCTGTAGACTTATTACTGAGCCACTGGGGGTAGGGGCAACTTGTTTAGGTGTATGCAAGTTTCTTTGTTTTATATAAAGTTTAAAACTTACGATTAGCTAGTTTAAGGATTTCCATGAGCCGAACAAGACCCACAGACCACCCAACGAAGATTGTTTCATTAGACAGTCTCTGAATAAATTTACAGTTTCTAGGAAGAATTTTTTTGGTTGTTTTTATATGAAAATTTAAACCATCAAATCATGAGATTCTTCTTCTTTCTCTAAATAAAAACAAATCAACCAATTATCAGCTTAAGAAGTGTAAAAGCATTAGTGCAAGCTTAAAGACAAATATTACAGCTTGAGAATATTACTAGCTTTCTACAGACCCTGCATCTTAAGCTGTCCTCTGTAAATAGTCACTTATTTAAAAATTGCACATAACATTGTTATTATCTCCAGATACTCTTAAAAACTGATTATTAAACCTTGTACAGAAACTCTTAACCTTTTTATCCTTGCCCCTCTTTGCAATTACAGCTGTGTGTGTGTGTTTCCAAAAACTAACAGACAGATGTACACGAAGATTTTACACAAGATGGGAAGACAGACCTACCTAAATTTGATCTGGATTCAAATCCAGATCTGAATCGCTTTGAAGCATTTTTATAAGGGTAGAAAGGGCATTTTCGCAGTTTTGGTTTAATAACTCTGTAAAGTGTGATAGGATTTGTTTCAAATTTCATAGGCACATTAAGGCTGAGATTCCTCATCACACTACAAAAACATGATCTGGATTGGTGATCATTCTGGATCTGAGAAGGATTTTCTAAAGGGAAATTTAACATTATCCAATATAAATGCATGCACTCTTGAAAATGAGTGGCAGAGCAAGGATATGCAATCTCTCTGATTGCTCATATTCTACAATTAAGCCATCTTGTAACCATAATGTAAAAGCTGCAAACCCCCAGCGTAAAGTTTACCCCTTTTTTTTTCTAAAGCCAAAACTATGAACAAAGAGCATTAAAATTATTCCATAAAAATACACCCCTGAGAAGAATGATCACAGGTGTTGACACATACAGTTTACAGCCTCTTTTTCAATCTTTTCCTTCCTTTTGGTATGAAACTTTATAAACCAATTGTTAAAACTTAGTGCAATCACAATCAACTATATAATAAATAAAAATGAATTTTAAAAAGATCATGAACAAAGATCTCAAAAATGAGATTTTGTACCAAAATTATTCTTAGTGTGGAAAAGTGACCGACCTCACATTTGAGTTCACAGCAATTTTTTTTTTGTTGTTGCTGTTGTTACTAAAAGTTAAATCAATAGCTAAAAAAAAGTATTCTAAATGAATAATCTTGAAATTGATATCAAACTTGTGTCAAACAGAAGAGCTATATAAACTGGAAAGCCTAGTGAAAGATGATCTGGAAGGCACCAATTAATGCTGTTGTGCTAGGATTAATTTTTGTTCTTTTACACTCACTGACATTACTATAAAAAACACAGATTTATGTGATTACGTTTTTTACAAACTGTTCAACATTTTAACCTGCTGCTAACTAAAATACTTCTTAAACACACGACAAAATCACTAGTAGACTAAGAGTCACAATAACTTGGTACAAAATTTTTTAAAAAGACACAACCGGAACCATTAAAAGCGTTTTATCATTACCCCTGAAACTTCATCAATTATTCAAGAAATAAATAATTTTAACTAATACCTATTCTTTCTTCTGATTATCTAGTGCTAACCGGACAACAATAAACAAAGTTCCCATTAATCAAAAAAAGTATAAGTCATAACAGTCACCCCTTAAGTTAGATATTTTTTGTAGAGTACACGAAGCACATTTTTTTTTAGAAAAATAAGTTTTGTTTTTTTAAGTATAACAGCAACATAACATCCATTTTTTACACAATAACTTTCTGGTAAATTCTTCCTAAAAATGCCAAGCCAAAAGTCAATTGCAAAAAACCTTTTCATTGAATACTGATACTAAGATTTAAGGTTCTTGCTCTACAGTGTTTTCAGGAGAAGCAGCTTGATCTGTTGTTCCAATAGAATTGGAAGTATATTTTACATCATGGAGGTTGTCATTCTTGGATCTTGGGATCCTGCTCTAAAAGAAGGATGAATGACAGTGTCAATTCAAAAATGTGATATTAAAATAGATGAAATGTTTAGATAAAATGGTTAGAAATTTAAATTTAATTCAAGTTTAATTTTTTTATTATTATTTGTATGATGTTCAATACAGCATGTAAAAAACATGGTAAGAACTGTCTTTCTTATTTTCCTTTCAAAAACAAGATAAGGAAAGGAAGATGATAAATAAAGTTACAAAAACAACAACACAACCATATCTAGTAATTGCTTAGACAACATTCACTAATACATTTAATGACATACATAAATTATACTATGCAAAAAAAAATCACTGATACCATCAGTTTTTTTTTTATAGCTAGGTCGAGCAATGACAATTTCATTACTTTGATACTGTAAAAATGTTTATTAGGTATTAAACTCATATCATTTTGCTTAAATTCACATCAGCCTAGTTAATATGGCCAACAAGAACAGCTCAAAACTGGTATGAGTTTTATAACCTATATGAATGTTTTGTCATCTTACAAAGACATGCATGTTGTATTCTTACTCAACAATTAATTTCTATACAAGTAATAGTAGCATTATTTTTATATTGATACATATGGATTTTCAGTAAATTCACATTTTAAAATAATCCTTCTCATAATAAAAGAAGTAAAAGTAACAAATAAAGTAAATCAAATTTACTAAAAACTAATTTAAAGTACAATTTATAGCTAAACCCTACCTTAACACTCTCATATGCTGTTTCCACTTTCTCTTCGATTGTTTTGAATGTCTGGGAGTTTCTAAATAATGATCACAGAATTATACACTTATACAAAAATATATTTTGTTTTAATACACACATTTACTGCTTGCTTCACATAACTTTCAAATCCAAAGAAACTATTTAAAAATGACCTATAAGATGTGTATGGAAAATTATATGAAAACTACTGCCAACTATAAGAAAGTTATATTTTACAGCATAAAAAAACTACAAAAACTCTTAAACTTGTATATTTACTATATTAATATGTGAAAATCTAATTCTTGCTCTATCCAATCATTAAACTTCTTTATAGCTGTTTAATTAGTAAATCTTTAATCCACTTGATGCATCACAATACCAAACAAGGTCTGTACAAAAACTAAGGAACAAGGTAAAATAGTTTTAATTAATGAATTACTTTAAATAAGTATCAGAATAACACAAAATATCAATGGTAAAATATTTTTGAGTTAAAATTATCCAAATACTTAGAATTAACATAAAATTGTCTTAACTCTTTCAGCAAGAGCTCAGTCCCCTGAGACTGACCTCATAACCATTTTGTACTTGTTATAGTTTTCATGCTACAACTTTTAAATTAGTAAGTGTATATTAACAAAATTGGGCAGATTATCAATAAATGTTACAATGCTTCCATATGCAAAATAAACTTTTTATCAAGTCTTAAGGTTTGTAAAGCAATGTTTTTCTCATGAGTTTTTTTTTTTTCTTTTCGCATGTTGCCTATCCAACATGCAAAGAAATTTTCATTTTAAGATTAAAAATACTTTTATGTTGTATTGTTGTTGGAATTTTAGAGAAAATCTTTCCAGCGCCTATAAAAATAGCCAAGGTGATGCGGCAAAAAAAAAAAAGAGCTTAAAAAGTTGGCTAGGAACCTGCTATAACCGTGTGCTATTAGTCTATAAATCGTGATTTTTGCTATCCCTTATCAACCAGAAAATTTATGACATTTGACCAGGAACAGTTATAAATTTCGAACATCAGTGGATTCTCATTGGATGTTAGTATCTTTCCGAAAATATTACTGGGTTCTCATCGAACATTAGTGGTTTTATGAAATTATTATCTTACTTCGACGGTCTAACAATTCAGTGTCTGACAAAGCTAGCTAGCTTCTCGGCAATTGTACGTACATCAACTTCAAGTTAACTCGCTGGATATCAAGGAGACTGAACTAGAAAGAAGATTTTATGTTGTTTGTAAGTTAGTGAAATTGTTGTTCATAAAACTTTATTTGTGGTAACTATTTGTAATAATTGTTGTTGTAAATTGTACTGTTGTGTATATATATGTATATTAAAATGTATTTGTGTGAAAAATGAAAACTGCGTGTGTCAATTGATAAGCAAGTAAAAATAGTTAAAGGAAAACATTTCAGATTTTGTAATTAAAATTAAATAATCATATTTAAAACAAGTTTATTTTAGCATTCATAAACAAGATGCTTATTTTTTGTTGCTTTTCTTATTTCACCACTTACACAGTCATAGAACTTGCATTTTCACTTATTTTGGACATCATCAATATGAAAACATCTTCCAAACAATGAAAAATCGATTTTATAACAAGTGTTTGTTACAACAGCTGCAAGTGTCCTAATCCTAGAGCAGACAGTGTGTCTGGAAATACCCAAGGTGAGAAAATCTATAAATTTATCATGGCAATGTTTAATTGACCTTAGTAATCTTGTATTCAATTAGAAATAATTAATTATTTGGTGAGGTCATAACAGGATTGCTGCAGACTCTAGCTATGTTGACTTCAGAAAAGAAAATAACTTTTACATAAATTATTGGACCCATCAAATAAAAACACCCACATTTAATATTTCTCTTTGACACTAATGGTCACTATTTATCAATTTCTGGAAAACATGAAAAGGTTTTAACCCCCCCTAAATCTGTGCTTACTTATACAAGATAAGTAATACAGTTATTAATTTCTAAAAAACAGGTGGAAGTGGTAGGGGTTTCAACCCTCCTTGGACTCCTTCCCTAAATCTTACAGAACATTTAAGAATAGTTATTAATTTCTGTAATAAAAACGTTCTGCATAACACAGTGTAAAAAACAGTAAATTTACATCTTATTTAACATTTGAGTAATTAGAGAGTGGGTGGTGGGTGTTACAATCATTTGCCTTCCCTCTAGTCAACATTTCCAGATTAATGACAGTGACAGATAGCTTAGTATTTTTGTAATAATAAAAACTCCAAGGATGAGTGAATTCTGTGTCAGTGGGAACCAAACCCGAGATGACCCCACTGGCCCAATTTGTAGCTATGTGTCTAACAACAAACAAACAGCTATATTTCAAATACTTGAATTATTTCATTACTTTCATAACAATCAATTTAATTTTGATTAGTAGATTATTTTTGTCACCTTAATCAATTAGTTTATGGGATAATAACAGATTTAATTGCTGCTCAGAGACTATTCATTATATAGCCCAGCTCTAGTTTATGCACATCTTTGTCGCCTGCATTTTTGCATCTTTTAAAGAACCAATTTTCAAGGGAGTTAAGTATATGTTTACCAAAACCTTACTACTTGTTTAGTCATCTCATTATTAACAACAAACAAACAGAAAATACACTGATTAATTACAAATGTGACAGCAGTTAATAAAAACAGTTTAATATACTTTAAAAAATTTTTCATTTAGAGAATTTTTCAGAAAGAATTAAAAACAAAACTACTTACTTCACTTCTCCAAACTTTTTGCTCACACTCGATCCAATGTTGCCGAGAGCTGCAGAGGTTTTTTCTCCAGCTTGTTTCAGCGTTTGACTAGTCCTCTGGTAGCTAAATATAAGAAAAACAATCTAGGTTACCAGGATGCTGTTTCTCAAGTCATAAAATAAAACAGTTTTACACGTTTCTACAAGAATAAATAATTTGAAGGAGAAACATCCAGAGGGCTGAATCAAGGATCCACAGTGTACTTGTGTACAAAACCTCATGAGGTATGGTTTAATAAGACACAAATGAAGCTTGCTGCATCTTCTTTCATCTCACAAGTTCTAAGAATTTACAACTGTCACACAATCTTGACTAGATTGAATAGCTATCCAGAAACTAAAAAGTGAAAAGGCAAGATGCAATAAAAGATAAATTTTTCTTCAATAATTAGCTTCTCATTTATAATGTAATTATTTACAACTACAGGTTATATTTGAGTTATTTCTATGCTTTGTCCAGTAACTACTTTTGTGTCATATTGAGTGCTTTACAAACAATAGATTTATCTAATATATTCAAAATTTTTCATAATTTAACAACAAATTATTGAATTAAGTTAATTTAATGTTCAACTGACCAGAAATAAAGTTTGGGCTTGTTTTCAATATCCAGGTTGCTTATTTCCTGACAGAAATCTGGTAACCCTACTAATACTTGTACACTAACCTTTCTTGAATTTGCCGAATTCCTTGTTCCATATCCTCTTTAAATCCCTTCCAGGGAGTGATTCCTAGTTTGTGTTTTAGTTCACTGGATCGTTTCAGCTTATAGGCCAGGACTTCACGAATTCCCGTGATTTCATAATCAATCTAAAGGAAGAGCTTCATTAATGAACAGAAGAAGAAGACCTCACTAGCAGGGCTGGATTAAGGCCTAGTGAGCCTGGAGCTGAAAAATTATGAAGGTCCTATTCTACTAAACCTTTTTTTACAGAAACTTAAAAATCAAACAAATTGATAATTTAGTAACAAAAACTTATAGTTAACAATTATATTACAATTTTATTTTCCATGTTTTTGACTGACAAATTTTTCATTGGTACAGTTTCTAAATACTATTCATGCATAAAGAAATAAAAAATTCATTATCCAATTTATTGTCAACATAAAATGAATTTCGAACAACACTTTTATTAAAAATATGAAGATAGCAATATTATCACAAAAAATATTCAATAACACATCTTTTACTGAGAATTCTAATGAAGAAGATGATAATTGTAATAGTTATAACACTTTTAATACACTGAATGCAGTAATTAACTAAACAATTTTCATGAATGTAATGAAAGTTAAAATAATTAGAGTTTGAATTCCAAATTAATACAACTTAATATTTATACACAAAAGCAAATATAAAACAAGAAAGCATGAGGCAAAGATATTAGAAAGGACAGTACTTTTAATTTTTGGGGCCTATTTTTTGAAACAGACCTGGTTCTGTAGCTTCATCAGTCTCCACTTTAACATGGTTGTGCCCTTTAGTAGTTATTTCTAATAACAATTTGTAAATATGTCGGTAGATACGTCAGCACTGTTTATGCAATTAAATACTGTGCCACATGCCTTTTTTCACATTAGCCCGAGGTAAACTAAAATCTTATCTAACTAAGATTACATCCATATAATGAAAATACGAATTAAAACTTCACCACCGACTAAAATAAAACTCTATAAATATTACTTTTTCCAAATGATACAACTACATTCATATTTTGAATCTTAAAGTAAAAAAAAGTTGGTTGAACTGCTACAAACAGTATAATATGTTTATGGGGGAAAATAATATTTCCAGAATTTCACAAGAGAGTTCACATATATCTTTCTTAATGAAGTCAGCAGTGTAATCTGTTGTAGTTTGGAACACGTCATATTAAACTATTACTATACTTACAAAGAAGTACTTACTTCGTAGAGATTTAAAAGCTTAGATGTACAAAGATTTATAGCACCACAAACTGTCATAACTAGTACCTAAATTCTGGATTAAGGAAGCTCCAAGCCGATATTCAGATAATTTAACTATTCAAGTAATGATTAATCACAATCATAGTAAAATGTTTTTTGCAGTATTTTCATTGAAGCAAAGGTCCATTACTAGCTAACATAGATTAATTTGTGACTGATATTATCAGTTAAATACTAACACCAATTGTGAAATCAGGTGTGCCTTACTCTGCTAATTCCAGCATTGTAAAACCAGTTTAAAAAAAAAAAATCAGGTGTTCCATACACCATTCAATCCTGATTTATAAATTTATTGAAAAAAGCAGGTAAACCTTATCTTACTAATTTCAGAGCTGTAAAATCAATTGATAAAATAATCCCTTGAGTTAAAAGCTATGGTTAGATATCACCACACATATATGATAAAACTACTGATAGATTACAGGTAAGGTCAAGAAACAAAACACACCCACTGTACATATACAAGTTCCTTTACCTGGGAAAATTACTTATTTAATGTATAAATAACACCTTTACTCTTACACAAGTCAAAAATAAATCTCTGTGAAAATTCTGCATAGATTTAAAAATTAAAATAACTGCTATTTTTAACTGGCATTTCCATTTTCCACCAATCAAACATGTATATACTTTTATTACAACCATTTCCTACCCTAATTCACTGGTGGTGTTTTTTTTAATTTTGATTGGCCAAATGTAGAGATTAAAGTAATTACCATTAAAAAAGGTGTTTTGTGAGGCTATTTAACTTAATAGGCCTACTTCAAAAATTAACCTAAACAAGCTATGTTCCCTCCAGCTACTTCCAATTTCCGAATTGTCCAACCTACCTTTGATAGTTCTTCTCTCCATTCAGCTTCTTGCTTAGCCTTATCCTCCAAGTCTTCAGATGTACTGGATGCCTCACTTTCTTGAATACTGGGTTTACGCTCATAGGTCTTATCTTCTTCCCCAACATCTGAATGAAAGATTACAAAATGAATTTGATAAATTTTAGGAGTTATAACATGAACAATTAAGAAGAAAATGGAGATACAAGTGGACAGAGGATGTAACTGATGAACACAGCTTGATAGCCCTTAAAGAAGTTATAGCTCTAACAAGCACAGCAGGCACTGAAACATAACTGCATGAAATAACTTTCTTATACTTTTTTTTTTCCAACATCTCCAAACCTAAACAAGTTTTAAACAGTCGCAGATTGTCTATTAACTTTGGCAAAAAATAAAAAAAATTTAAATTCTTGATCTATAACTTATTTGATCTCAGTCCTCTGATTTTTAGAAACACTGTCACTTTTTATAAGCCCTGGATCACATACAGAAAGAAAAACATTGAATTTTTTTTATTTAAAACAATAAACTAATTGCTATTTTTCATTTTTTTTTTGTTTTTTACATTCTAAAAATCTAATTACTGCACTAAACTAGCATGAAAGCCTTGATTAATGCATTTTATTTTAACCTGATGAGGGAAGTTTATCCAATCTTTTGTAGAAGAGTAGGAACACAGAGCCGTTCTTAAGTTGTAGAAGTTTTTTTTTTCTAGCTGTGGTGTAAGAAACAACAGAAATCATGCAGTCATGTATATTTTATTTTACTGAGAAATTAACTAATAGTAGTAAGTAAAAATATATATTAATATGAAAGTGTGATACTGAGAGTTCTAACTCCTACGAAAAAATTAACTTTACAAATAAATTATTAAAACTAAAAGCCTATTTTCACTTGTAAAAGTTCAACAAGTAAAATAATGAGCTAGAAAATATGATTAAACATACAAAAATCAATGTCACTGCACCACTGTTCCTAAAGTCTGTAACAATGTAGGTAAAATAACATGTATTTGCTTTATTTATGAATGCACTACTGCTACTTCAAATATCAAAGTTTAGGGGAACAACCAATCAGATATTGAACAACATATGCTATTAAAGTGATTTAAACTACAGAGTCACTCCTATATACTAAATGTGAGTGAGTTTTTGAAAAACAATGTTTAAAAATACTATTTTCATTGTTTTAATACCTTGCTTTTCAAATTTCTTTGTGCACGATCACAAAACTTAGCAATGTCTCTTAGTCTTATCACAAAATGGCGTTCTACAATACATTGTTATCTAATTCAACAAAACAGTTCATATTGTAATCTAAATATACCTAATTCTTCCATTTCTTCTGCAGAAGCAAGCTTCAGAAAGTTTTGATACTTCTCTTCTTCCTCTGAAGTCATTGAAAATGGTTTAGTTAAATCGTCATACCGTACAACTACCTGTCCGTTTCGGACTGTCGCTTCTGTAAAAGCGCAACTATGGCCAGTAAAGTCAAACATTCCGGGCTCCTCGTAATAATCCTCCTCTAAACTGGAATGACGTTCCATTAAACTTTCTCACTCACTACACAACATGAGAAAAATTATTGAACGTTAAGAGCACGTGCATTCAAGAAATCACGAGTTGCTAAAACGACTATCGTACAGGAAAGCATCAAAGTTTTACATACTGTCTTTTAACTCAAGCTTTCCACGAGAAACGTATACGCATTTTAACCAAAACGAGAAACTTTAGAAACACGATTACAAGTAGCAGTTTCTTCTCCTATAATTATAAGTATAATGCTTGCATTCTCAATCAATCCATAATCTCGTATGTTATATTTCTTTCCATTTGCATTCTAAATCTTCATACCCTTATTTAAACTTAAAGACGCAATTTAAATTTAACAAGTTACATTCAGGCTCACAACTATCTTACTGGAAAGGTGATTCGTGCAATCTTGACGTAAGCAGAACGTCGATAAAACAACTTCTATCCCCCCCCCCCTCCTTCTACGTTTGCCGACGTTTTCCGTCACAAAAAAGTAGCACACAATAGCACCACCTTCTACATTAGAATCGCTTCAGTGACAATATATAAACAGTTCAAAGACCACTGGAGCCACGTCAGCAACTACAAGTCTATTGTTCAACCGTTACACCCCCTACTAACTCTCGATGGTATTGTTTAATATCGTAGTTGTATAAGTTTTATTAATCTGTCTGCGATTACTTCGGTTGTGTATTTTGGTTATAGAATTATTTATATGCAAAACGTTTAACGAGTTAAAAAATAAATAACTTGGTAAAATACATCTAAAAACATCTATTTTATTTTAAATATAACACTTGATTCGAGATTTACCAGCTAACAGCTACTTATCTTCGTGTCGCCTGTAAAGATAATAAATACTTTCTTATTTAAAAAACAACAACAACACAGAAATAGTACTTTGGTTAGCTGAAAAAGGCCATACACACTTATGTTATACCACTACCATTATTTTATTCAATATGAATTTTCTTATGCATACAATATCCCGAAAACAAATATTGCAGTTGATTACAAAAACACTTTTACTACAGGAACGTCACTTTTTTTTTGTTGAAGTTTAAGTGACTTTATGTTCTACAACAATATCTGTAGGGGAGATGCTGGAAACCACTGAAAAAAATCGAAACCTCTTTATATTGTTACGACAGCGGTAGTCGCGTGACGCTGGTAACACGTAATGAGTTATAGAAAGATCGGGGAACATCACGAATAATCTAGTATTTCAAATTCGATGACGAGGAACCCACTCTGAGACTAATAATGGCTGGAGACGGCTTGAATGGGTAATAGAAAAAACTTTAATATAAGTTTAACATAACAGCAAATGTACAACGTTTCGACAAGGTTTGGTACCTGATGGATGACAAAACATTGT